CCTTTACTATGCGCAAAAGTCATTCCCATCACCCCAAAGGCACCTGTGAAGCTTTCCCTCTGAGCTGAGTGTAGGAAAAGATTCTACCCAGTCTATTCTGAAAGGATGTCATCCTTGTTAAAAAGCAATGCTTAAGTAGACTTGGCCAGACTTTGTTAACCTCCGCCTACCATGGCAGACACTGCCCCCAAGGACCAGGGCCTCTGCAGTCCTTCTCCACACCACAGCCAGCAGACAGCGCCAGCATATGCCTGGTGGGGGTAGGGGTGAGGGCAGGTAGAGCATTCCTGGATTGTGAGCCAACCCAGAGGAGAAGGAGCTTTCACATCACTGTCCCTGGGCTCCTGGCACTCACACCAGCCTGGGCTGCAGATCTCATAACACCTCCCTCCAACACCGCCCAGCCCTCCCCAGTCTCAGGGAAACCGCCTGTCCCTCTCCAGCACCTGCACCTCCGAGGTATGCTGATGGCAAGTTTCATCAAGGAAAACGTTCTCAAGGCGAAAGCTAACACCAAGGGGACCATACCCCAGCTCTGCACCCCTTCAGGGATGGCAGGAGTTAAAACCTCCAGTAGTAGTTGAAACTAGGATGATGGAGCGGAAGCAGAGAAAGGCCGTACTGGAAGCAGCAGCTGGGTGGGGAAAGGAAAACCAGGTTTTGCTCTCAGTTCTGCCAGGGACCTGTGTCTTGGGACAAGTCACCAAGACTGGGAGTATTTCTCATAAAACCAGGAGGCTGGATCAGCCAATCCTCCCGGCACATTCCCAATTCCTAAGCACTCTTAACAAGCCAGGATATGGCAGTTGCTACTGTTTGCCCACCTGGCTGCCCCATTAGATTGAAAGTGTCCCCAGAGACCTAGTAGACCACCCCCACTACTTCAAAATCCTTGCCAGGGTGGCTGTTGCTAGGAGCTCAGCAGGCAAACCAGTAATGACAGGTGTGTCAAGTGACTGCATCTCCATGACCACCCCAACGACCTGCTCTGTGAGGAATAATGGCACCCTTTCCCCTCCCCAGCAGTTCCACTACCCAGAGGATCTGGGGAGCAGGGGGAGGGGAACACAGGAAGAGCTCAGGTCTCCCATACAGCACAGTTCAGACCTTAGCCACAGTGTGGCTGAGTGACGGTCAAGCCTCCCTGACCTTCCCAGCAGCGACTGGTCCCCCAGGTGCCTCCTAGCAACTTCTCCAGAAGTGGCCAGCTCCCCAATGTCCCCTTCCCAGCAAAGCCAATGGGAAAAGTCCTTTGGGGACCCTTTCTCCAGGTCACCCTTTTTAGGAGAGACTTTTCTCCAGGAGAGCACAAAGTGGGGAGACTCCGTGTGCCAGGCCTGTCCCTGAAAAGTACTAGAAGGCAGGAAAGGGCCCATTTGCAATGTCCACAAAACACGAATCTTCGTGAGGTGCCGCTCTCTTTGCCTCCAGTGCCCAGCGCAGACACGGCCCAAAGAGGGTGACTGCATGAGGGAGTGAACTGGTGTGGGGCTCCAGGCTGTGCGCACATCCGGGGAATGAGAACATTCCATCCTGCCTCATTGGGTTTCTCAGACCCCCTAGGAGGATCCGATGGGGATGGGGCACCAGGCTCTGCAGGGATGAAGTAGCCTCACAACTTCCATCCGCAGATCCAGACTCTGGGTGAGGATTTCATCTCCTCCCCCGTCCCATGTAGAGAAAACCGAGTGTGTAACAAACACTGGTGGATTTCCAGGAACTCTCATCAGGCTCAGGAGGGCCCAGCACACGAGCAAACAGGTAGGAGGCAAAAATTAAACCTTGGCTCCTGCTACTCTTTTGGATCCAAGCTGGACCACGACATGGAGAAAGTCATCACAAGCGGCTAGACACGCTGACCCCGCACACCATCACAATCTGCAATCTCAGCTCCAGCAGCTGGGCCGAGCATCGGGGACATGCAGGGGCATCTCACATGCTGTTTCTCCCACTGAGTGCTTGCTTAGTAAGGGTCAGAGTGGGCTGGGGTTCCTAAAGACTCTGGGAGAAGTCTGGCGTGGTTGCATAAGCCAAGCCCTCTGGTCAATCCCTTCTTCAAAAGCCAGGAATCCAATGTTGCAAGCACTGCCTCTGGAGGCCCTGCCCTGGAATGTGAGAGGAGACTGCAGAACAGGAAAGAAAACCAGCCTGGATATCACCACGGTCCCACGTGACCTCACCACATGCTGCTGGGATGGTTTCCTGGCCTGTCACCCACCTCTGGGAAGTAAGAGCTAGAGAAGAAGCTTCTCTAGCTAGAGAAAAAGCTTCACCTAAAGGTGACCTGTGGTATGAATGCCATTGGACCCTCATGAGGAAAAGTTTGTAAGGAGAATCTCTTAATAGGAAGAATATGAACTTACAGACTCACAACAATGCTACAGGTTTAAGCAGTCTCATTCCCATTGTACAGATGGGGATGCCTGAGATTCAGACATAATGGGACTTGCCCAAGGTCACGTGACAGAACCTGGACCCGAAATCAAAGCCATGGGCTTTCCCATCTGTGCCACTGCCCCCATCATCAGGCTTCTTAGAGTAATGAACTTCCCCCCTATTTTATCACTTTAGTAAATCTGGACTTTGGAACCATTCTTAAGCAGGAAATAATTTTTTTAATTTTTCTTATTAGTCTTTTTTAAAAATTGAACTTATTGAGGTAACACTTATTGTTTAATAACATAAATTTTAGGGGTATGACTTTAGAGTACAACATCTGTATGCTCTACGATGTGTTCACCACCCAAGTGTCACCTTGTATTTGACCTACTTTCCCCTCTTGGTCCACCCCTCCTCTCTGGTAACCGCCATTCCCTTGTATCTATGAGTTTGGTCTTTTGTTTACTAAACAGGGATATCCTCACACACGGGTATGTATAACAAACACTGATTCACCCCATCTGGGGCCCCTTCACTGGACGACAGAAGTCTATGGAGATCCACTCCAGCCTCCCTGTTTGGGTGAGGAAGCTGAGGCCTCTGGGGTAAAGTGATTCAAGCAAATCAGCTCCTAAGGTCTAAATTCCCATCCTCCCCAACAACTGAAGTCCACCTTTTCATGAAACAGGGCGCACCTGAATCCACAAGACATTGGAGACGACAGGGAGCTGGGTACTGGTTTCCAGGTTACCCTGCAAATCCCTTTCAGGCTTTGGGATGGGTTTCCGGCTGCTCAGTTGGACCAGCCAATAAACCAGCTCAGAGACGCACAGAGCTGGATGCCCTATGGTGTCATCACGTCACACCTGGGTTAACAGGAGTGACTCTGAAAGTCAGGGCACCAAGAGGGCGAAGTGCCAGTTCCAGAGAACGAACAGCAAATGGTGCTCCGGTATCCACGCTGTGAACTGGGAGCACTTCGGAGCAGCATGGGGGCAATCCTGGAGAGGCCAGCACGGGGCACATTCTCCCAATCCAACAGCCCCACAGTTCAACCAGACACAGGCGGCTGGACAAGAACCCTCCCCTCCCAGAACTAAGCCACATAGGCCTTCTATTGTGTCGCTTCAAAAACCGAACTTCGCTGGGCAAAAACACACTTGGCTGTCTGTGTTCAAGACAGCAGTGTCTCTGGCCACTTGGAAAACAGCAGCATGTCTGCAGAAGGAGCAGTTGTGTGGGGTATTGTTGGTCGGTTTGTTTTTTAAGCAAAGCCCGGGTCAGCACTGCTATAGCAACTGTAACAAAAATAATAATAGCCAGCAGTGATTGGAAGCTTCCAATGTTCCTTCCAATGTTTTATAGCTTTGAAAAAAATAAAACTGAAGGAGAGAAGTCACCCCCAAGCATTTTGGATCAAACAGGGATTCAGGTTTACAGCATGCAGAGGATTGGGTCTTGTAATAATTACAACAAATCACCACTGGCCCTATGACAGTTGGCAGAGGCAATGAGCAATAAAGGGAGGGAGGGGGCCTGGATGAGAAATTAAGATTCTAACAAAAACAAAACATTTCCAGATCTGCAGAAGGCCAGATGCAGCAAGGCAAGGTGGAGCCCCTTCTTCAAGTCGGAGTTAGCGATTACTAACTAGTCTGTGGATTCCACAGCCTTCCCAGCTTCTGGACAAAAAAGCAAGTTGGGAATACACTAGTTTCCCTCTATTGTGTACCGGGGAGGGGGATCTCCTCGCGCTTCGGAGAACCCAACACTTTTAGCTGCTTCTTCCAAATTGTGTTAATACTGCACTTCCCAGCTATAATTTGAGAGAGGAGGGCAAGCATATCTTATTTCTTCTTTACACTGGAGGCTGTCTCCACCAGAAGCCCTTAAATAGTGTCATCTTCACACCAAAGGATAGTTCCCCAGCAAAATCCTTCCTAAAGCAAAATCCAATGTTTGAGGGGAGTCCGTGGGTAATTACATTTTGAGCAGTGAAACGCTGTGGCAGAGCGAAAGGAAAGCACCAAATGCCTGGAGAGAAAAATGCAGTTTCAGCAAACACTTTTTGAAAAGCAGCACACAAGAACCTGGAGGAAAGAAAAGCAAGGGACAAGACAGTGCCTGGAGTATGAGGCGAAAGCAGACAACGACGGGCCTCCGTTCACACTTCAGGGGGACCTCCCCCTGCCCCGTCACCCCGGCCCACGACTGCTCCGCTCAGTCACACAGGGAAAAGTCCAGCGTGTGACTCAGTGGGAGCATGAGTCCTGCGGCCAGGCAAGCTGGAAATGGGGTTGGGGGCGGAGGTGAAGAGGCAAGGGCTGTCTGCGCGCAGCCCACCCCGCCCATCGCTCAAGTCCCAGTTCCCACCCCGCCCCTCCCCGCAAAGCCCGCCCAAGGTGAGGGGCTGGTCCTGGGTCCTCAAACTGCCGCATCACCGAACCCAGGAAGGAGGCGGTCGACGAGGCTTCAAACAGGGCGACCCAGGCTTAAGGATGCAAGTAAAGGTGTGGACAGGAGCATAAAGCGAGGTATTAGGGGCCGCTACCCGGGCCGCCCACCCCTGCATCCTCGGGCCCAGCCCGGGTCCCTGACCCTCCGCGCCGCGGCAGCCTCACCTCCAGGGTCCGGATCTCCTGCTGGGTGAGGTCGTTGGACACCGCGCACTTCGTGCGCAGCCCGCGCAGGCTGCCGATGGAGATATCGATGAGCTTCTGGAGCTGCCCGCACTGCTGCAGCGCCCTGCTTGCCGCGGCTCCGGCGCCCCTCTCCGCGGCCGCCGCGACCCCCCCGCCGCTGCCTTCCTTCTCTCCCATTGCCGCCGCACGCCGTGCCGCTCTATCCATGCCTCGGCATCGGTGCCGCAGGGTGGCTGAGGCGGGGAGCCCGGGGACGCAGGCTCGGAAGGGAATTTCGGAGCCGGGAAGGCGGCACAAGCAGCGCCCCTTGGTGCTGCTGGAGATGGGACGCGAGTGGAGCCGGCAACCGAGCCCGCTGCTCCCGCCCGCCCAGCCGCCGCAGCAAAGCGAAAGCCGCGGCGACCCGACGGCTGCGGCTCTCAGAGCCTTTAAGTGGCAGCAGGGGCCGGGTCAGGGCAGCTGGGCATGCTGGGATTTGTAGTCCCAGCTGTGCACCTGCCTCCGGGCCCGCGCCTTCAGAACTCTGGCCCAAGCCCTACGCCTAGCTCCCGGCGGTCCCGGCCTTCCCCTCTGCGGTAGACGCTGGCGGTGCGGGAGCGACCGCCTCTGAGTCCCGGGAGTGGCTGCTCCGCGCAGACTCCACCCACGGGCGCCGAGAGCCAGGGAGCCTTGTCTCTCCGCCCATCCCAGTGCCCCACGCCAGCCTCCAGCCTAAGGGCTTCCCGCGACCCCCGGATGGGGCGGGGCAGGGGTCGGGTCCCCTTTGGAACGGAGGAGAGTTTGCATCCAGCCATTCCTCAGCCGCAGCCAAACCCTGGAAGATGGGGACAGTCGAGGTTCCAGAATTTCTGTGTGAGTTTTAGGGGCCGCCATCTAGTGGGAAGGGGCCTTAAGTGCTTGTGCTGTAGCAGGTTCTCAAAGCACTGGACTCCCGATTGTTCATGCCCAAGGAAATAATTGCTCAGGCATGGAGAAAGACGGAAGGGCTTTCTTCTGGACCCTTTTCACTCACCAAAATAAGTGTCCCATGCCTCTGCCACCTCCAAACCAGCCATACAGCCCAAATTCTTGGGGCGGCACACTGATTTGTCCTGCATTTAGGAGCGCTCTAGGGACAACCAACGCCTGGTTTTAAATTCAGTCTCTAGAGCAGCCTAGCTTTGTGACTATGGGCAAAGTTGGCTGTCTCCGAACGTCTGAGTTTCCCATCAGCAAAACCGGGGCGGTAACAGTACCTATCTCATAGGGACCACGTGAAGAACTAGGTTAGCCCTGGCCGGTGTGGTTCCGTTAGCTGAGAATTGTCCCGCAAAGCGAAGGGTCGAGGGTTGGATTCCCAGTCAGGGCACATGCCTGGGTTGCATGCCTGGTCCCCGTTGGGGCACGTACCAGAGGCAACCTATGGATGTTTCTCTCTCTCTCTCTTTCTCTCTCTCCCTTCCTCTCTCTCTAAAAATAAATTTTTAAGTATTTTTTTAAAATATCTTTTAAAAAGATGAGTTCATGTATATACAAAATCTAGATTGATTACTGTCACATGTAGTCACTGAATAAATGTTAGCAATTGTTACCATCCAACCTCAGATCTCCAAACACGGCTGGAGACCAGAGCAGTGGGCGTGGGGGCAGTGTTGCCCCTGGACTGGCAGCCTTTCCTGCCTCAGCATTCAGACCCCATCCCATCTCCACCCCACCCCAGCCCTCCCACCTCCTACCAATTCACACTGCTCTGTTTCTCTGGCTAAACTGAAAAGCCAAGCCACCAATCTAAGCTCCCACACATCCAGACTTTCAACAAGAAGAAATATCCCTCCTCAGAATTAGTTTCTCTTGTAGGCTCCTTGGCTGCCTAAGTGGCTGGCTAAATTATCTTTGTAGCCTCTTCAGAGAGCCAAATACAGTGCCTGGCACACAGTAGGAACTCCATAAAGTAGTACAACCCATTTCACAAGTTCTCCAGGTGTGCCATGTTTCTGTTTCTCTTGGGCCAGCTTAATAGTTTCCCTCTCTCTTCACCCTTTTTTTTTTTTAAGAATAAGGATTGGACAGGAGGTAGAGTCCCAGCATTATATTTTGTCCTAAATTGCACATTGAGTCAGTAGTGGCTGGCAGTTTATATCACACCTTCCTTTAATGTCATTTGAAATGTTAAACTAAATTACATATTAGGTCTGAAAGACAAAACCATCATAACTTTAAAATGTGCTTTTGCAAACTAACCCCTCCTCTGGAGATTTTCTGAAACACAGGGGTCTTCCTCCCCAATGCCTGACCCTCCCCACTAAGAATCACTGATCCAATTATCACTTAATTTGTCACAGGACCCTCTGTGGTGTATCTATTAAGCCCGCCTACCCTGACTGTTCCCTTAACCCCCACCCCACCCCCATGCGGCAGAGTGATAACAGCCCTGAGAGAGGAACTGTTCGACAGCAGTTCTCAGCCCTGACGGTGGACCAGTGTCTCCTGCAGGGCTCTGTACTGCACACTGCGGGCCGGACCCCACCCCCAGGGTTTCCTGTTCGGTAAGTTGAGGACAAGGCTGGAGAATTCGTGTTCCAACAGGCTCTCAAGTGATACTGATGCTGCAGATCTAGGGGCCGAACTTTAAGAAGCCTTGGCGCGGGGGAAGGTCAGGTACGCAGGTCCACAGCGCAGCCTGGCTGGTGTAGAACCTGCAGTTGTTCAGTAGCCAGAGCTGCCAGGCTTGAGCGACTGACTCACTCTAACTCAATTCACAAGAGATTTCCTGCTTAAGTGCCTATTTATACATTTCCATCAAGCTTGGGATTGCTGTAGGGGCCTGGTCAACACATTTTCCCCCAGGGCCGCTTGATGTGGGAAGCCATATCCTGAGAGGACAACTGCCAGCCTGTGGCATCCACACCTCACATGCCACCATGGCGATGGTATCGGGGCTGGAGACTGGACAAGCCTCAGCTCCCTGGCTGCCCTCCTGCCAGGCTCCATGCAGCCAGTGCCTCTTCTGTGGACACAGTCTTCCTTCTGGATTCTTGGAAGCATTCAGTAAGCCACAGCCCTCCTTCCCGCTCCATCTCAAACGCACCCCAGCCCTGCCGACTGGGTTTGGGTGTCCCGTCAGCTGCATATTTACAGAACTGCCTCTGAGAGATGCAGAAAGCAAAGATGTTTAAATAACCCCTTCATGCATCCTTTTGACATTCAACATTAATGAATGAAGATTCATTAAGTGTCTAGTTATGCAGCAGACCTCTGTGTTCTGGACTCTGAGAAGACAGGAGTGAATTCATATTCAGGTAAGAGAAGTCGGACGTAAGTAGAATGCACGGGATACTGGGTGGTCACAGGCAGAGCAAACGTGGGGAAGGGGGACAGGAAGTGAAGCGTTCGCAGCCCTCAGTAGAGCTGTGTTAGGGAGTGGGGTTTGAGGCTCTGTTCCTGAACTGCTGTCTGACCTTGGACCAGTCTTCTCATCTCGTAGTCCCTCTCCTCGCCTGCAAGATGGCAATTATATGTTTGAGGATAAACACAAGTGATGATGCAAAGTGATGGTCACAAAGTAAGAGTTCGACGTATTTCTTTTTATTTATTTGATAAATACCTACCTTGTGCCAGGTACTTCCTTAACTCATTTAACTAATGTTATTTGCTTTCCTCCCCCCACCCCTTCCAGAGTGTGTCTGTTCTGGAATAGGTGAATTCGTCTGTTCTGTGCTGATTCTTAGGGCCAACTTCAGCTCCAGGCTCTTGAGGCTTCCTGTGGCCCCTCAGTACAGAAAGTTTGCTCCTTCTCTCCTTCCACCCCTCGGCCTCAGACACTTGCAGTATTGTCACTCTAAGTCTTCCTGGTGTGGACTCCCCTGCGTGGCTCTCAGCACCACAGTAGCTATGCAGGCTTGTTTGTGTTTGTGCCTCATGCTTTGCAAACATGGAAAGGGCACCTGCCATGGGCCAGGCTCCGGGACAGGCCCAGAGGGAAGGAAACCAAGTCCGTATTCACATGGAACAAGCATGAGTAGAGACAGAAAGGTAAGAAGTCAACAAATACAGCACCAAAATGAATTCAGAGAATAATAAGAGCTATGAAGGGGGGAAAGCAAATAGTAATCGCAAATTCCCAGGAGATAAGGTGCTTCATGAGAGGAAGCGGTCAGAGAAGTACTCTCTGACTGATCATTGAGCTAAGATCTAAATAATGAAGAGGAGCAAGCCCTGGGGAGCTCCAGAAAGGGGCATTTGAGGTGATGGGAACACCACGTGCAAGGGCCCTGAGGCAGGGACAACTCGGCACGCTCCAGGAACCGAATGAAAGCCAGCGTGGCCACAAAGTGGTGAGACAGAACGGGGACTGGAGATGACGTGGGATTGCTGGGCCAGGGCCAGATAAAGTGGGGCATGGGCAGGAAGTCTGAATTTTTTTTTCTAAATCTGAGATTGCTGCATTGCCTGGGAGCTTGTTAGAAATGCAGCGTCTCGCACCTCATCCCAGATCAACTGAATCTTGGATTTTAGCAAGATCACCTTATGACTTGAAAGTATGTTCAAGTTTTAGAAGCAGAACTCTCGAAGTACATGGAAAGAAAGCTACACTCCCTGCCAGAGAAGTGTTTTTAAAAGATCCGTCCGGCCACCATGTGGAGAGTGGATGGTGGAGAGAGGTAGGGCAGGGACGGGCCCGGTTTTTAGGACTGCTGCTGTGGCCAAGGCCAGGAGCAGGAGCAGGAGCAGGAGCAGGAGGAGGGTGGGAGAGGAGGCGATGGCAAAAGAAGGGGGGTGGAGGACAAGTGTGGAGACAGCCAGCAGGACAAACCAATGGGTTGAAAGTGAAAGGGAGAAAGAAATTATTTTAGCCATCCTGGCCTTACTGCCCCCACTCCTCCAAAGATAAAGCAGGGCGCTGTGGGAGGAGCCCTACCCCACAGTCAGGTGTGGCCACAACCTCACGTGCTGCACTCGCTCCCCTGAATTCCCACCTCCACCCCCCAGCATCAGCTCAGTACTCAGCAGGTTTCTCTCACAACCCAAGACGGTGCAGGCAAGCTTTGGTTCCCGGGATTTCACCTTCAGTTAAATTGTCCAGGAAAGGTGTGGAGTCGCCCCGGAGAGATGCACTGTGCTAGACTAAGAATAGAGCAGTAAATGGTGCAGACTTTATAGCTTACAAAAGACTTTGGTTTGAGCTCACAGTAACCTATGTTGTCTTCCTAAGACCCTTCTCATGGTGCTCACCAGATAGAAAATGCCTTGAGCTCCCCTTTGACCTCAGAGTGCTGTATGAGTTCCTCATTGAGGTCCTTCATTCCTGGGCCCTGCCAGCACTTCCAAGCACTTTTGCTACTCAAGGCTTTTTTTTTATTATTTTGTTTTTAGGGAGGAGGGAGAGAAGGAGAAAGAGAGGGAGAGAAACATCAATGTGTGCTTGCCTCTCTCACGCCCCCCACCGAGGACCCAGCCCAAAACCCAG